ATCAAAACGCCTGCCATTTGATATAAATAAATATTAAAATTCATGTGATGTGCGATAGGCTGATCTCCACATTCTGAAACCTGGGCATTGTATACTCATGCGGCAAAAGAGTCCATAAACAGGCATTTGACTTCTGACTTCAAACTACCATCACCCCATTGTATGTCATATTCGACTACTTTCACAGTACTCACCTTACCTTTTCTCTACCATTGTGCCTGCCTGTCGCTTTTACATCTGTGAATCAGTCTTCTTTACCCCTGTCGAATTTTTCTTACTTTAATGTTCCTCCCTTCTGTGAAGCCCGAAGTCACCTAAAGGGCTTATGATAATTATCAAAATGCCTGCCATTTGAAATCAATAGGTTAGATCAAAGTTTTCTCTTCAATAGACTGTAGGCCTTGCAAATATCTACTGATAGATGATCCTCTTTTGTATGTTAGAAGTTAGGGGTATTCGGTTTCTGCCCGGAGGTGTTATCTCTGCCTCACAAATGTGGAGACCACAATATCAGATTATTATTTGTCATTTTTCTTCCCATAAGGCTAAAATTAGCTGGCATTGCAATTTATGCCAATTTGCAGAAAAATCTAATGAGGGGTTTAGGGGTAAAAAAACTTAACAAGAATTGATTTTTCCACCAAAAATCTGCTATCCACTCTTCTAACTGCCATCTGGAAGATTTTTCTTTCAATCTTAATTTGAAGGGCAGCAAGTTCCCTCGAAATCTCGAGATCAGGCACGTCATAGAAAGTTGACAAGAGTTCGACAGTTGAAAAAAGAGGCGATTTTTCCTTCCACTGGCAGACGGAAGTGGCTTTCTTACATTGAAGACGAGCGAATACTAACAGGATTTTCACGCTGTTAATCGGCTTCGTCAGGCTATTTTTTTCTCGATTAATTTAAATTTCGTGTAAACATCGAAATGAAAGTGGAAAATTTCAATTTAAAAAGTAGCAACTTCTAAACATGAAGAAAAAGCCGTTCACAATGAGCTGATTGGAAATTCGATCGAATACTTATGGGAAAGTGCCAGGCTTTACGATAGTTTTCATTAATCCTTTAGTTGACTTCGGGCTACACAGATGGTAGGAACAGACAAAGTCACAAAAACGTTGAAGGGAGGGGGAGAGAAGAGCGATTCACAGATGCAAGTGAGACAGACAGACAGACAGAAACAAAGGTAGAGAGTAGGGCAATGTGAGTACTGTAAGTGGCCAAAATCTCATGGTGTGGGTATTTAGTGATCACCAAATAACTGCCCAAATAATGGTTCGTTTAAAGTGCAGAAAATGGATAAAAAGAAATTGGTGGAAGGGGGAAATCATCTTCTCCATTCTAAGACTGAAGAAGGTCCTCACAGGACTCAGACAACACAAATTTGCTCTTCTATTCCGCCATTAATATCAAATTCATAGTGTAGATACTCGTAATAAGGGGGTGTGCGATAGACTTACCTTCACGTGGTGCACTCTGAGCAATATATACTCACACGACAAAATAGACTATAAACAAGCAGTTGACTTCTGACCTCAAACTACCATGACCCCACTCTATGCCACATTCGACCACTTTCCCAGTACTCACCTTACCCTTTTCTCTACATTTGCGTCTGGCCCCATTCACATCAATGAAACACTTTTCTGTTCTCCCCTCTCCACTTTTTGAGACTTTGATGTTCCTCCCTTCTGTGAAGCTCGAAGTCAGCTACAGGACTGTTGATAACTAACAATAAGCCTAAATAAATACGCGCAATAACTGCGTATATGTACCAAATTCTACCTTATTGAGAAGAATCCTCCCGAGTAGCCCACTAGCCTACAAAAGTTCGAATTCGAATTGACGTTATGAGAAGAAGGAAACAATTTAATTCTGGGATATTAGTAATTGAATCTGAACTTAAAGGGCGCTTACTTTAATAAATAAAAGATTCCTTAATTAAAGCAGTTTTACCTCTGACAAGGAAGCCAAGTTTGTATAATTTCGAAATATCTTTTTTGAAGGACAGAATGAATGCTAAGTTTTCTGCTTATTGAAAATCGATATTGGGATTCTTTTGTAACACCATCCAATTCTCAAAGTTATTTTTTATTTTAGAATATCAGTAATATTTTAAAATATTTCCTTTATAAGCTCAATAAAATTAAGTTAAACAAATGATTTAAAATTTAAATTATAAGGGTAACTTTAGTTTAAAGTTGCGATGGCATTTAAGTACCAATTATCGCGAGAAATGGGTAATAATTAATTCACAGATTATGGAAATACAGTTTTACCTTGTATGGAGAAACTTAAGCGAATCTCAAGTGTATGGAAATGTCGACGCTTGCACACTTCAAATCGGCCATAAAATTGTCCAATCAGGAGCGAGCAGTGGTGCAGGACCCACAGCTTTTAAACAAAGCTAACCGCTCGGCCGATAGTTGTTCATTCACTTTATAGAGGCAGTGACAACACCAACATTTTGGAACATCGGAGCACCGAGTTTACACATAGTAGTTGCTAAAGTCAAAGGTTAAAATGCTACTAAGTAGCCTTGCCATGCCGCGGGCTAATTTGAACCAACTGACCCTACCCATGGTCCTCTCCCTCCTCATCTTCCTTTTCTCCCCCGCGTCATGGGCTTTTGATGGACGTCTATCTCTTGGCGCCGCCCTTGACACTTCAGATAAGACTATGAGGATCGAATTTCCAGCTAGTGTTGGGGAGCAACTTCACTTAACACAATACCCACTGGAGATATATGGAAAAGAAATTGAGCAAATTAAGGTAGGGAATTGTGCCTCCCCTATCCCATACTATCTTTTACTTAGATATATGCCAACGGTTTCGTCGTATTGGGGAATCATAGTCTTGAATTGCCCCTGAATTACCCCAGCCAAACGGCCTACTCAAAGCATCGTCTCAATGAGATACAGGGGGATTTCATTGGTGTATTTACAACTGTCAACCAATGCAGTCCCAAAGGCAAGATTATCATCAGGTAAGGCCCTGTGTCATGGCGTTCAAAATGCCCTCCTATTTTTTTTAAATTAGCGTCAGCATATGTTGCTCTTGCATAAACCTGGTTTGAATTTGGTGGGAACCTGTCATCAGTCCCTTGAAAATTTCCGGTCTCAGTCTAAGCTGGTCGCATATAAACTGTTGCGCACTCTGATCTCAAGATTAATTATAAAGTCAAAATTCTTTGAATGCGTGTGTTTACAAGAAGTTATTTAAATAGTAGAACAGTTGTACAGTAAATTTACTGGATGCAATGCGTCAATATTTTGCAGAATGTAGTTGGAGCAGGGCATACTTTTATGTTAAGATCTGAGTTTAAATTCTGATTGGTCTGCGCTTTTGAATTCAGCAAAATGTAAGAAGTATAGCGGTTGCATTATTGGATTTGTTATACATTTGAATTCAACTCAAGAAATGGAGGCATCTTTAAATTCGATCGAGCATTCCTAGAATTGAAAGATTAAAACTCACTTTATTATGATAAATATATTTTGCTATTATTTTAATCCATGTATATATATATTTGACTATTTCATCTTTAGATTTTTAAATATTAATTCACAAGTTGGCAATTTTTGGTTATCCATCGACAAGTACTGAAGTTAAAATAACATTTCTTAATAAATCGAACCGTAAAACGCTATTTTGCCTTAAACTACTATGTTATTAGACATTTTAACCGCACTTCCACAGCTAACTCACTAGTAACTATATTATTATTATTATTCGCATCAAGTGGGTGTTTCCCGTTCTCATTAAATGCTATATTTTTGACTAGTGAAAGTGATGAATTTTAACGCTGCCGATGGAATCAGGCCCGAATAATCGACACTCGACTACCTAAACGGAGAAAAGATTTTCTCCTGATAACTTCTTTTCAATGTTAAATGCGTTTTATCCTCTCTCCTTTCTTCCCCGGGGGCTTTGTTGTCATGCCTTACCCATTTAAGAAATGTAGTAAAGATGCGTGGAATCTCGGGTAAATTTTCGTTAAACAGGTCATGTAGAAGGCGTGAATCTGTAACCCGGTAAAATAAACGCGTGTGTGAAAGAGAGAGGGAGAGAGAGAGTGAATTTGCTTACGTTGGACAAACGGCCAGTGACCTCGTAAGCTTTCAAAGTGGCATCATTGCCAAGGTGGTGGATGTGCACTGAGAGGTACTCTAGCATAAACAAAACTTTTCTCTCACTCTCTGGATCTCGTTATTGAATGTGTGCAGTTGTGTGACCTGCGTTTTGTATGTGTGGCGTTGGCCTTTGGCCAAGGTGTAACAGAGTAAACACCTCAGGTCTTTCTTCTAATTCATGCTATGTAAATTGTAGAGAAGTTGATGTGAACGAGGTGGAGTCCGGTACTTGTCTATTCGAGCACATTGTGCGGATTGGAAGCATAATCGATACTGCTGAACTATATTCGGAAGGCACAGAGTTTCTCGCTGATTATATCCTCACTATCACCTGGGAGAATATGGGATGTGTGCCGAGTTCCGAGCCCCTGGTACGTACTCCACCCCCCCCCCCCCCCCTCTATTAATAAGCATTAATCTCTTCATGACATGCCTACTGAAATCTATTTTAGACGAACACATTCACTCTAGCTTTGGTGAGAATGGAGGATAGAGTGTATGCAATCTTCCAGTATGATGATATTCAATGGACGGCGGATCATTCAACTTCTAGTTTACCACCCGAAGCTGGAATCTTCATTCATGACGAGGATACACCACAGCTTCCACGAAATAATATGCATATTGAACCACATGTTTGGAATGAGTAAGTTATTATGGAATCAATTCCTCATCTTTCCTTCCTGTCATTACCTGGAATTCAAATCTGTCCAGAAAAAGCGCCATTTTGAGAACTTAGCTCATTTAGTTAAGGTGGTAATTCTATTACTATTAGCGATCCAGGTGCGCCTCAATATAATTACTAACAGAGGAGATGAAGACCTTTGCATCGTTAAGAGTGATCAATTAAGTCAAGCATTTAGCTCTATGGGCATGAGACCGAGGGCTTAACTAGGTCACATCTCTTTAGATCGGTGTCCTCTTTTTGAGATAAATACGTAGCTTCAAATCAAGGGTGGGTGGGGGAGGGGGGGGGGGGACAAACACGGGGAACTGGGAGNGTGGAGAGGGGGCGGTATACGACGCTTACAATCAGCAACATGATGAATTTTGAGGAAGAATAGGCAAAATAGGAAGTCTTTATGATTGCATTGCTGTAGGCCTCGCAACCAAATGCAAAATGTCAATGATAGGACTTGAATAAAAAAACAGTACCAATGAATAAACTTAAAGTAACCGAAGAATTGAATGAGTCAAGAGAATGCTGATTTTTTTTAACAATTAACGTGTTGATGGAACCGCCTCTTGAGATGTATTCTGATAGTAGGATTCGGACGCTCTATCATCCTGATGTGGTCACGAATGCAAACGATTAATGGTACATTAATGAGACAACTCGAATTCATTGCAGAAATAAAACCTTGAAGTGTCCTCGTGGACATCTATCTCACAGTAATGGAAATTATCTTGTTCAACTTTATAGAAGGCAACGGCCATTAGCATTTTTGACGAATGGCCTTGAGCTTTCGGATCACAATCTGCCCATCTACTATCTTATTGCCAACAGCTACATATCCCATGTTAATTGATTGGGCATATTTGAGAATCTTATTTCCTTTTGTAAATATTTCTAATAAAATGCTAAACATTTTACAGGCAGTCAAAGTGAACAGTGAGCCATACTGCCTCTTCATTAGTAGAAAATAATCGTAATAAAGGCGTCAGTCAAGTTTATGACTGCAGTTAATGTCTAGAACCATGGTGGTTATATATCGAACTAGTCCGATGATTTAACAGCGTTATTGAACGCCATGGTTCATGGCACACTTTACCACTTAAGGAATTTTACTGCCTCTACAGAGAATCCAACATTGCTGTGCCTGGAGAATGGTTCTTCCCACTGAATGATGGCCCAATTGACGTGGACGTGGAAGCTCAGTCAAAAATACGTATGCTAACCGAGGACTTTGTGGAGACCAGTACGACTAACTGTCCCGACATGGTTGTAAACAATCCACCTTCCACTACTCCAGGCCATGATGGAGGATCCTCCACAAGTCCCACACAGGAATCTTCTACAATGACAGTGCCACCATCATCTTATCAAACTGATTCAGAATCGCCTTCATCGACGGGTTATGCAACTGAGGTTACATACAATCCGCCTTTTACCACCTCTGAAGGTGTGCCTTCTGATGTTGTTGTCACAGATCAGGAGATAACGTCCAGTTCTCAAACTCCGTCTGACAAAACGACCTACGATGACTATTACGGTAGGTGTCCTGGATTAAATGAATTAGTTAACGGGTAACACTAGTTAGATGACTTGTCAATTACCTTTATGTATAACTAATAACTGGTAGGTAATAGAATAGAATGGAAAATCTTGAATGCCTGAACAAAGTGTACTGAAAATCAATGAAAAGAAATTCATATCTGTGCCAAAGGATTCTCGATATAGGTGAAATATTTTTCATCTGCATTATCGCCCATGGGTGCTTATTGGGGTGGGCGGTTATTTGCCTCCGAAACAGTTTTTTTTGGAAATTGAATTTTACGTTCAACCGCCCTGGGCGGACTTTCGGAAAACCTCGGTTTTTCCCAACTGGCAGCCTAAATGGTTAGTTACTTATTACTTAGTACTTTTATCCTCAGATAAAACTTATATAGATGATTACAACCATAGCTTCGATCGCAAACTCTAAAGTGTAATGCAATGGTTGAGAATTAAGTTTGAAGTTTTCATTTGCTATGCGATATGAAATTCTACCTTTGAGGAGTTAGAGAGCGAAGTATAATTATAATTTGGTTCCATTTTTAAGCCACACCACCAAGCATGGACCCCCAGAATTGTGATAGCGGTGCGTGCGAAGATCAAATGTCCTCGTGTTTCATTTTCGATGGACAGAATTGTTGTGTTTGTCCTCCTGGTTACTATGGTGGTGGCCAAGAGGGTTGCCATCCTCTCAGTAAGTGGATCTGATTTAACATTCAACATTTTGCAAATTTTATTTCACTACACGAGTCTTCTCATACCTTAGAACCAAAAGAGTCCCGTAGAATCTACGTTGATGGTGAACTAAAAATTGATTTACCACATCAAGAGCCAACCACTTCCTCCTTTTTCCTTGATACGGAAGTACGAAGTGATAATAGTCTTCTAACTCAGTCGGGTACAAACAATTTACCGCGCAATTTCTCGACTATCCATGCTCTTTCCCCTATTTTCAACATAATCAACACCTTCTTCGCGCTTCCAAGAGAAGAGGCGAATGACGATCACATTTTCAATGTCTTCTCCTTGACGTCTGGTTTCACAGCTCCTTTCAATTTTTCCTTCTACGTAACTGTTGGACGATATGGTCGTTTAAGTGTCAAGGGTGATCTCAAGCGCGTTAGCTCTGATCGTGACGATTATAAGGGTTCCTTGAATATTCAGATCAGGCCAGACGGCTCATTCTTACCTCTGGACTCCCCATTAGTGAATTCTGATGGCCTTCTTCAAGTAGATAATCAACAAGATCGTTTAGTTGAGCTAGAAAGGGTTGAAGCTGGAAGGGTTCAATTCACCCCCCTAACATTTAATTTCATATCAGCATCTGGAGAGAGAGTAGCTGTGGAAATAAAAGGCGATGGAGAAGCAGACACCAGAGAAGGAGCGTGCCTGCTTGCAGATGGAAGTTTGCTGAAAATTGGACAGAAATACGCCTTTAATTTGGGCTCACAGGGCTATTGTAGAGAAGATTGCCAATCCGAAAGCTCCTGTTCCTTCTACTGTGTCGATACGCCTATTCTTGCAAGCTCCGCATCAGGTAAGTGTTTCATAAATATTTCACCTATCTTAATTAAGGCGAAAACTTATTGCAAACCTTATTTTCTCTTTTGTTAGGTGGTTCACAGGTTAAATCAACTCCGATTCCATCAGTTTGCCAAATGGAGTTAGATGCTGGGCCATGTGCAGGTTATTTTGTTCGTTATGGTTTCCATAGCCAAAAGGGACATTGCATCGAGTTCGTTTACGGTGGTTGCCAAGGCAATGCCAATAACTTTGAATCCATATCAGAGTGCGAAGCCGAATGTGGAAATGGAGACAATGGTAAGTCATGCCGTTCTAAACATGTATAATGATTATCTGTTAATATAAACATTAACCTCCATTGAGTTATAAAATGAACTCCCAAAATCTCATGCCCACTACAGATTATTATCACTCTGATACTTGATATTTCAAGCATTTACTGATTACCTGAAAGTTGGTCTCTGAAAGTCCATGATAAACTTGCCACCTTTGGCAAGCTGATTCCTTCGATAATGCAACAAAAAAAATTCGTTCCTTTAAAATTCCCAAAACAGATTTATGTTAGACATTGATTGTGGTTCCAATGCTCATTGATTTGAACTGCGCTAGCGTTGGTATGAGATTTACAGAGGCGATCCTAACGTAGAGATCCCTAATACATGGAAAAATGATTGAACCGTGTGTAAAAGATGCATGTGCCATAGTTGTTCTCTTAACTCGTATGTTGAGATAATTTTGAACATTTTCCACATAAACACACTAGAAGAGCCTCCTCGACAAAGTGAAGATGTGTGCAGTCTTCCGACAGACACCGGTCCATGTTATGCGTTCATACGTCGTTATGCATACAATCCATCGACAAGAAGATGCGAAATCTTCACTTATGGAGGTTGTCAAGGCAACGACAACAATTTCGAGACAGAAGAAGAATGTGAACGTCGTTGTGGAGGTTCGGAAATTATTTTCTCTCCAGGAGCAGGAGTAACTGAAGGCACCGGTGGTATTGGTGGTATTGGCAGTGTTAGTGGTGATGTGTGTAGTCTCCCTTCAGAAGTGGGTCCATGTAGTGACTATGTGCTGAAATACACCTACAACACATCCTCTGGTCGTTGTGAGATGTTCTACTATGGTGGTTGTGAGGGAAATGACAACAGATTTGAGAATTTGGAGGAATGCCAACAACGTTGTGAATCGTCTGTGTCGAGAGGTATGTTGATGTGAACTGTTGAATGTGCATGAATTGAGTGGAGTATGCCATAGTGCTCATTCGCTTGGCATTTATTTGTCTTCAGTTTGTTTATTTCTTGGCTTATTTTGAGTTGATTGAGTTAAATCGAAGCGAATTGAGTTGAATTGGGAGTGGAGTGTGAGTTAAATGTGAATTGTATA